GGGGATCTAACTCGGGTCCTTGTGCTTGCGAGACAGGCAGCGGAACCACTGAGCTAAATCCCTAGCGGGACTAAATATTTCTAACTCAAGTGTCCCCTACAAGAAAAAAAAAAATCATTCAAAAACTAACTGGACATCCTGGGGATATAGCTCAGCCGAACAGCACCTGCCTGGCAAGCGTGAAACACTCAGTTCAATTCCTGGTACCAAAAAAACCCAAACTAGCCAGGGATGCTGGCACATGCCTGTAATCCAGCACTTGGGAGGCTGAGGCAGGAGGATCACTGTGAGTTTGAGGCCAGCCTTCGCTACATAGTAAATTCAGGGCCAATCTGAACTGTATACCAAGTTCTTGTCTCAAAAAAACCAAAACAAAACAAAAAACTTTACAATGTTGCTGTATTTAAAAGGAACAACTTACAACAGTACTAAATCTATGCTAATTTAGCTTCTAAAGTAATCCTAAATCTCGATTTCTTTCAGCAATCACTCACCAACTTACCATCTTCTTCTCATTTGATATAAAGACAGCATAACATTCTTCTAAAGGATACTGGTCATGGTTTTTGATGTATTCACAGAGCTTCCAAATATTTTCTTCACTGAAATAAAACAATGATTTGATCAATATAATTAAAAGTGAACACTCTGTCTTTCAGATTTGAACAAAAGATCGATGACACAAAATAAATAGGTAGAACCCTTAAACATCTCATCCAACAGCAGCAAATGTCTGAAATTCCTCTAAAACACTGTCAACAAGCTGCTACATCTCAAGGTTCTAGATAAAGAATAAGCTAAATCCAAAGCCAAACTCAAGATCAGAGCAGAAATTAATGCAATTGAGACTAAGAAAACAATACAACGAATCAACGAATCATCTACCAAGGAGACGTTCATTTCTTGTGAGCTTCCATCAGATTACTCCTATCTCACCAGCCTCCATGGCCCTGCTTCCTTCTGACTTGCTGCTCTCTGCCTGGAAGACCTTCTTCCATTAACCTCAAAGCTTCCATCCTCTATTTCTGCAAGTCTGTTCAGTATCACTGGATCAATGCCTTCCTTAAATATGCTAACAAAATAGTATGAGTCACTACCTTTCACTTTCTCCCTCTTTCACATAGCACCATCACCTAAGCAGGATTTACCTGTTTTCATCTGCTTTTCCCACATCAAAATGTAGGAACCATGAGATCTTCCCAGGGCAGTTATCAGTTTTGTTCATGGATATATCCCTAGTGCCTAGATCATGCACCACACAATCCAAGTACCTAAGAAATGTGTTTTGATGCTGGGCATGGTGGCACAAGCCTGTATTCCCAGCACTAGGGAGGTGGAGGTAGGAGCATCGCTGTGAGTTCAAGTCCAGCCTGGGCTACATCATGAGTTCCAGGTCAGTCTCAACTACATAGTGAGACCTTGTCTCAAAAAAATAAAAAGTGTTTTGTTTTGCCATTGGAAAGAGGCTTTTTTAGGACTTAATGTTGCAGCATAAGGGGAAACAGTGTATGAATGGAACCCTAATAAACATCTGTTGAATGAATAAAACAATGAATGGATGTTAGAGACAAAAACTGAAAGGATTTCAGACAGTGATGGCAAACCTTTCAGAGCTTTTTTTTTTTTTTTTTTTGGTACCTGGGATCTAACCCGGGACCTATTGCTTTGGAGGCACGAAGTGCAACCATTGAGCTAAATCCCTGCCTGGAGCTTTTAATAACAAACAGCTTTCCTGTGCCTTTTCATTAACAAAATAAGGAGAAGAAAATTCACAGAACTTGTCTCCTAGGCCTGGATGGAAGCACCTGCCATCGGGCCTGACAGGTGATCAAAGCTGAACAAATGTGAAGCTGTTATTGGCACTGTTTGAGGACCAGAAGAGAAGGATGGATTTACAAGGTCCTAAGGTTTCTCCCCGTTAGGGAAGAGGTCATTACCTTGGAAAGGAAAGGGGAAGTGTGGGAGAGAAAGGGACATAGGTAGAGTAGAGCTTCAGCTGCGGGAGAAGCCCAGAGTGGAGAGGCACTCTGGACTCCAGGGAGGCTTTGAGCAAATTACTTGCCTCCGTCTGTGCGTCAGCGTTCGCATCTTTAAAACGAGAATCACAACAGTACCTTCAAGGCTCCTGTGGGGCTCAAGCGAGGTAGTCGACTTAAGCCAGCATGAACGACGCTCGGCGCAGGGCTAGTGCTGCACAACTGTAACCATCATCACAACGACAGCACAGCGGTTAACACCAGGTGTCCGGGACCACAGGGCGTGAGCTGGACTCCTGTTACCGGCTAGGTGACCTTGGGAATATTCCTTCAAAATCTCTAGGCCTCTCTTCCAAAATTAAGAGGACCTGCATCTCAACCTGAAATCACACAGGTTCAGCAGAAACTCCTCCCCTCCGCCCTGGGCGTCCAACTCTTCTTCCTCGGCCCCGCACACCGAGACTAGCAGAGCAAGTCCAACCCAAAAGCGCGCCCCGCCCCACCCCGCCCGAGACCAGGCCTCCGCCAACAGTGCGCCCTGCAGTCCGGCCCTCACCAGTAGCAGCTGCTGTAGACACACGCGGCCCTCGTGGGGCAGGCGGGCTGGTAGCGCAGAGCGGCAGGCACCGGGTTCTGCATGGCAACCTGTGGGCGGGGCCTAGGCGGTAGGGGCTGCGGGTGGATGGAGCCAGAACAGAAGGCCGACCGCTGTGAGGAGAGCAAATGAGGGCTCCCTGGGCGGGACGGAGGTGCGGAGGACTGAGTGGTTCAGTGGTGCTCGGGTGGACTGACCCCTAAGGGGGCGGGGCCAGCAGCGCTCGCCCTGGTGGGCGGAGCCCGGGATGCGTAGGACCGCGTTGCTCTGGGTGGGCGGAGCCCGTTTGGTGGCCTCGGGGGTGTGGTCCGAGTACACGTGAGGGGGCGGGGCCCGAGGCGGGGCTGGCG